CAGCAACAGACCCAGAGAAGCTCCTCTAGGAACAAAAGGCCAGGAAAGGAATTTCAAAGAAGACCATCACCACTCCCATCCTCCCTGGCAACCTCCTTAGCAACGGGACATTTACCTGGGAAGAAGCCCCACGTGGGGGCAGGTTGGAGGAACCCTATAAAGGCCACCTTGAACAAAGGAAGCGCGCGCATTTGCTGCCCGAGCCCATGTGCTGCTTGTGCCCACGTGGCCGAGCACATGTGGTGCCCGAGCACATGTGTCGCCCGCATCTCCCCTCTTGAGATGTGTACTTTCATGCTTTCGTGTCTAACTTTACTCTCTCACTCTCTCTCCCTCCCTCCATACCTAAAAATCCTCCAAATAAAATCTATTTACTTCACTGCTTGTCTACTCCTGAAATTCCTTTCTGCGAGGCGAGACAAGAACCCAGCAACCCTGGGTCCCGAGTGGCAGAGGCGGATGGGGAGAAAGTGACTGTCTTTCTCCTCCCCGCTTCATATAAGTCACCCGTGGGGCCCACCGACATCATTAGTAGTTCAAAAATCAGAATTTCCCTCTATTCTGGAAAAATCCCTTATTTCAGGTGGCCGAGACCACATCTAGACCGTCAAGGACATATGATGAAACTCTACTCATCAGTAACCCTAGTTTAGACTTAAACTGCACTGTAGCACTGTCCTCCCATTATTCATCGATTTGTTCAAGCAGGCACCAGTAACATCTCTAGTGTGAGACTTCCCAACCTTTCTTGGTATGTAATGAGAATTATGTAACTTAGTAATGAGGACTAAGAAACCATACGTGATGAGAACTAAGAGAATGTAATGAGACCTGGGAAACTAAAACTAACCCCTACATTAAAGAAGAGAAGGGAGGAAGAAGTTTTCCTTTTGATGGCCCAAATCAACTGAGTTAAGGGCCCACCAGATTTATGGGAGCGCACAGCAGGCACAAATGAAGGCCACACCAAATGGGCAGGATATACTGACAATGACTGTTTTTCTTTGGGGCACATGAAGGCCTATCATGTGAGAAAGATGAGATGATTGCTTATTGCCTCTGTATCCCTACTTCACTGATAAGGATATATGTAGATTGTAGCCCATTCTTAGAGAATAAAAGAGAGATCCTCTTAACAAACAGGCTCCAAGTTTCTTTCACTTTCAACTTGAGATCCTCAGCGCTGAGCTGATAAATGCACTATCTTATCCTGAGCTAACTCTATTCATTCACAGCTCACGCTGGCACAACTATATATATATACATATATATATATATATATATATATGCCAGAGTGATAGTACAGTGGGTAGGGCATTTGTCTTAACACAGCCAGCCTGGCATCCCATATGGTCCCCTGAGCACTGACAGGAGTAATTCCTGAGCACAGAGCCAGGAGTGACCCCTCAGTATCTCCAGGTGTGGGCCACCCCAAAACAAAATTTAAAAAAAATACACACACACACACACACACACATATCAGGGGCCAGAACAATAGTATAGCAGGTAAAGGGCTTCAATTCCTGGCACCCCATATGGGCCCCAATCCCTGAGTGTGTAGAGCCAGGAGTAAGCCCTAAGCACAACCAGACATGGCTGCCAAAAAATAAACCAACAACAACAAAAAAAAATCAAAACAAAAATGACAACAAAATTGCAGGCAGAGCTGTGGTGAAGAAATTCAGTGGCAATCCCAGAGAGGCAAAAATGTATAGTCGAAGTGACATCTGCACTTGTTTGTTCATTGCAGCACTCTTTACAATAGCCAGAAACTGGAAGAAACCTGAATGCCCAAGAACAGATGACTGGTTAAAGAAACTTTGGTACATCTACACAATGGAGTACTATGTAGCTCTTAGAAAAGATGAAGTCATGAAATTTACATACAAGTGGTACAATATGGAAAGTATCATGCTAAGCGAAATGAGTCAGAGAGGGATAGACATAGAAAAATTGCATTCATCTGGGGGATATAAAGCAACAAAATATGAGATCAATACCTAAGAATAGCTGAGATCAACACCAGGAGGATTACTCCATAGCTTAGAGGCCAGCCGGATATTCTAGGGGAAAGGGCAGTTCAGATAGAGAAGGGAACACCAAATGAAAGGTGTTTGGAGGATCCTCCCAGGAGGGGAAATGCATGTTGAAAGTAGACTATGGACTGAACATGTTTGCCACTCAGTGCCTCTTTTGCAGACCACAACACCCAAAAGGAGAGAGAGAACACAGGGGATTGCCCTGCCACAGAGACAGGGGGGATGGGGGGATGGGGGTGGGAGGGATATTATCCATGGTGGTGGAAAATGGGCACTGGTGGAGGGATGGGTATCTGATCATTGTATAATTGAAACCAAAGCACAAAAAATTGTAAATCTACAACTGTAAAAAAAAATAAAATAAAATAAAGGGGAAAAAAAAAGAAATTCAGTGGCAGAAATGGTCTCTCTTATGAAGCCATCAACAGAAAGAACAAGAGCACAAAGGCTCGAAGGAACCTCTCAGAGATTAAGATCAAACTGTAAGGTGGGAAGGGAGAATACTGAGGAGAGACTATGTGAGGTAGCAGTGCGCCTACAAGAAACTGGCACAATAAGCTTCTCAGCACCAGGTGAGCTTCATCTTAACACATGTAGTGTATTAACTATAAATAATATCAAATCAGTTTATAAAACTTTCTAACCAGCGAACAATCACACCTAAAAAATCTCTATTAAAATATCATAAAATAGGGGCTGGAACAATAGCAAGCACAGTGGGTAGGGGGTCGGCCTTGCATGCGCCCAATCCGGGTTCAATTCCCAGCATCCCATATGGTCCCCTGAGTACTGCCAGGAGTAATTCCTGAGTGCAGATCCAGGAGTAATCCCTGTGCATTGCCGGATGTGACCCCCCCCAAAAAATCATAAAATATTTATGTAGATACTGAGTTTCCAAAGGATAAATTTCTCCGTCTAAAGTAAAGCCTTCCCATGCGGCTAGAGCAATAGCACAGCGGGTAGGGCGTTTGCCTTGCACGCAGCCAACATGGCCGACACAGGTTCGATTCCCAGCACCCCATAGGGTCCCCCAAGCACCGCCAGGAGTGATTCCTGAGTGCATGAGCCAGGAGTAATCCCTGAGCATCGCCGGGTGTGACCGAAAAAGCAAAAAAATATAAAATAAAATAAAATAAAGTAAAGCCTTCCCAATTATTCACTCAATTAGAATGGGAATGAAAAGTAAGTCTGACTTTGTTTAAGCCTTGGAAATCTATCAATACAACAAAATATATTAAATATGAAAAACTGTACAAGGGTCATTTCTGTAATTTACTCTACTACCAAATGTGGATCAAAACTTTAAGAAATATTAAGGAATAAAAATTAAAAGGTGGCAGTTCTGTTTCAACCATAAAAGCATATGGTTGAAATTCAATAAACATTTTCCTGTTGTTTGAAATGACCTCTAACAAAATAACCAAAATGCAATTTTTGTTTTAAAATTGTAAAAATTTGAAACCAAAATTGTTTAAGTCTAGCCTTTACAATAATGTAGTAATTAACTTACAATAGATATAATATATGCAGCCTCCAATTTGTTATTGGCAATCAACAGAAGGATAATTAGCCACAAAAGGAAGTGCCTGAAGCTTAAAAGCAATATGATCACTCAGTGCTATGAATATTTAATAAGTGGAATTTAAGAATGGATCAAAATGTTATTTATGCCTTTCTGTTTCCTTCCTTTACCCTTTTGTGCTTGTGCAAATTGTAAGATTAAGAAACTTTAAAAAAAAACAGTATTTGCCAAAAAATGTTTACTTTGGAAAGCTGCTGTCATCAATTCTCCTCAGCAGTAAGGTCACCCGAGGCCCAGGATGCATTTACTGCTCTGAAACAGCACCATTTTCCTAGGAAAGCTTCATTAGGAAAGAAAAGTCAGCTTATTTTTCAACTCTGTAAATTGGAGGAGTTAGCCCCAGGAATTACAGGAATTATCTGTAAGACATGGCAGGATTTTAATATATAAAATCATCAAAATTCAAAGGCAGCATCTTTCTGCACAAAGGACAGAAGAAAACAGGGTAACAGGCCCGCCCCATGCTCCTCCTGGTTCATTACTTCAGTCCCCAAATTATACATCAGTCACAAGCCAAGCAGTAAACATAATTTTTAAAAATGATCTTTGTAGGAAGTCTCTGTAGAAAACTATGAGTCGTGTTTAACTCTTTTTTTTTCTTTTTGGGTCACACCCGGTGATGCTGAGGGGTTACTCCTGGCTTTGCATTCAGGAATCACTCCTGGCAATGCTCGGGGGACCATGTGGAATGCTGGGAATCGAACCCGGGTTGACCACATGCAAGGCAAACGCCCTACCGACTGTGCTATTGCTCCAGTCCTTGTGTTTAACTCTTAAGATGCATAAAATCACTTACAATGTCCTAAAAAGTTCAAGATGAACAAGTCTTCCGTTTAAAACCAACCATAAATTAGATTACTTGTCCACTGCAATTTGTTTGATAAGGCTGTTGTACCTCATTCTTGCAAAATGACATGAAGATTTAGGTTGGAGGGTTACAGCTACAGTTTCAGACACAAACTGAACCCATATATAACTGGCTTTTACTGCAAAGATTCCCCATTCCTGTTGCCTAAGTGTCTTCCAGAAGGTTTACAAAAAAAAACGCTTATCTCAGATCTCACTCCAGGATTCAGCCTCAACTACACAGAATTTCCTTTGAAAATTGTAAGATGAACTGAGCCTCATACCACTGCCAAAGCTTGTATCCCTCTGATGGATTTCCATGTTCTCAGTTTCCAACACTGTTCTCCTAACTGAGACCTTGTACCTGTTCAGTCAATATCCACGATAGCTGCTATCAAATACAGGTGCATTTCATGAGTACCAGATTTAATTTTAGTCCCGTAAAAAATGATCTGCCCCAAATATGACTATCCACGTCACTGGGACAGCAATCTTGCCACAGATAAAAAATGGTTTTCATAGAAATCAATTACCGGGTTGTAGATGACATTCTGTAGGTTATTTAAGGACAACATTATTCTTTCTTCCTTAAAGCTGAACAGGTCTCTCTTCTGTAAACGATCTAGAACTTTAAGCACGTTTCTTCATTTGACGGTTTTCCAGATTGAAAGTAGTGTACTTTGTCCTGTATATAAAACCAAACCAAAGGGGAAGAAAAATAAGCATGCACTTTTTTATAAATGCTTTTTCATTGAAATTTATAAATTATTTTAGCATCAGAGATGAGGTACAACAGGTAAAGCATTTGCCTGATATGTAGCTAACCCGGGTCTGATCTCTGATATCTCATATGGTACCCCCAATCCCAGGAATAAGCCCTGAGCACAGCTACTTGTGGCCCCAAAACAGAAACAAACCAAAAAACAAAATTATCAATTATTTTACTATTTGTCAAATAGGAAGCCATTATGAAAATATGATCTAAATTTTTACCTATACTTAGGAATATACGAAATATATTTAGATTATGAATGGAGGAAATATTTACTTTAGAAATATGCCAGTAGAAAATTTCTGACATGAATCCTAGAAAGAGTATAGCAGTTAAGGCTCTTGTCTTGCATGCAGCTGACTGCAGTTCAATCCCTGTCACTGCACATGGTTCCTAAGCACTGTTAGGAGTGATCCCGGACCAGAGAGAGAGGAGCAAGCCCTGAACACTGCTGAGTATGGCTCAGATCCCTCTCCTCCAAGGTGGGGAGGGGGGATCAAAGAAAATTTCTAACATGAATCTTAATATTGAAATCTGAAAAAGGGGACTGGAGAGAAATTATGAGTTCACCCCAGTTGGATCACCTACACCACACATCCCCTGAGAATGCAGTGTGGCCCTGGAGACCTCTGAGCACTGCAGGGGAAAAACATCAAAAATAATAGCAAACACAGAGGCAGGGGGTGGGAAGGAATAGGGGTGACAGGATACGGGGGCCATTTGGTGGTGGAGAATAGGCACTGGTGGAGGGATGGATGCTCCATCATTGAATGACTGAAACTCAATCATGAAAGCTTTGTAAATGCATCTCACATTGATTCAGTAAAAAAAAAAAAGAAAAAAGTTAGAGGTCACTTTATCACTTAACTATGTTGAGGAATGTTTCCTCTATTGCAATTTTGTTGAGATTTTTATAATAAGTGGATATTGAGTTTTGTCAGAAAAGAAAAAAAATAGCAGGGGCCGAGCGACAACACAGTGGGTGGGTTCTTGCCTTGCACACAGCTTACTGGGTTGCTTCCCCAGGACTCCATCTGGTCCCTGATGGGGTGAGCGAGTGCAGCGTCTGAAGGAAGCCCTGAGCACAGCCAGATGTGGCACCCAAATCCAAAATAAATAAAATGAATAAAAATAACAACAATGGTGTACAACTGAAAATCATTTATAAAAATGAGAAGAACAGCACAACCTGGGAACAACAATTATACAAATCGTCTCTCAGATGTGTTCTGTTTACTCATCAAATGTGCTAATAAATCAATGAAATAGTAAGGGCTTCGTAAGTTTTGGCTAGTAACTGTTCACAGAAGGGCTGGTTTTTCCTCCTACAAACGAAAAAGTCAAAGGAAAAGAACCCAATCTCTTGAATAATGATGATAAAGCCGGCTTTAAAAAAAAAGTGGGAGGAGGACATTAAAGATAGTTTCAATACCTTTGGCCAAAGGTATTGATAGCTCCTGGGAAGACTCGGAACCGTAGGCAAAACCCAGAAAGGAAACTGAAACTTCCTACGTTTTTACTTCCGTTTCACTTCTGTAGAGCAAGATAAGTAAACGCAAAACACTTTGTCTCTATTCAGGAAAAACAATGAATCATTCCAGGGCTTTCCACCCAAACGTTACCCCTTAATGAACGTTCGTGACTTACAGGTTAACCTTTATATGTTCTGCTCCCCAAATTCATAAAAGTCAGAAAGCTGGAGAATTTGTTTCCTTTTCTTTCGTAAGCCACCAGAGCAAGAAGGAAAGGACACAGCTGTCATGGCCACAGAGGCACCACGTCGGGTGACCCACGGATGTGGGACGCCTGCACGAGCGCGATTCCCACCCCCACCCTCACCCCAGCATCCCGGGCTGGTCCCCGGGGGGCGGTCGGGGTCTCCCTCGCTTGAAGGGCGCCCCGGGGACCTTCGGCCTCTGCATCTCCCGGGGGGGCCTCGGGCCGAGAAGCTGGGATCGGCCACACCCTGCAGTGAACTTGTCATTTAAAGATCACCGGGAAGGACACGACCCTCGATCGCTGCCAGGGAATGGGGAGACCCCGAAGTCCTGCAGGCGGCCGCGGCGGGGTGGGCGGCAGCGGGGTCCCGTGGGGGAGTGGGGGTGGGGTGGGGCGATGCAGGAAGATGCCCACCTCGTTCCCCGAGCTCCCGGCCACCCACCCGGTCCCGATGCTGCCAGCGGGACAAGTCGACCTCCCGGGACGCCCACCCCGCCGCCGCCCCGCTTCCCAACTCCGCCCAGGCGCGCGCCCTCCGCGAGACGGGCCGCGCGCAGTCTACTCACCCCAGGCGGGCGCTGCTCACAGGCGACGGTGGGCGGCGGCTGGCGGTCCGGCGGCCGGTCCGGGGGGCCGAGTGGGATTACGGGAAGCGAGAGGACTCAATCCAATTCCATTTCCCGCTTCGCGCGCCGTCGCCGTGCGTCTGCTTCCCCGGGCGTGCTCGCGGCTCGCGGGACCTGCGGCCCGGCTGCCTGCTGACCGCCACGCAGCTCGGCGTCCTGCACAGCCTTTTGGGACGTGGGTCGTGATCGACTCGCTGCGGGTGGCACGGAGAGCAGAGTGGGTGGACCTTGCAGGCGTGGCTTGCCTGCCGCCCGGCCCCAGGGATCTGGGTTCGATCCCCAAGGCTTCCCCCCATGTGGGTCCCCGGAGTCCCGCATGGGGAGTGATCCCTGAGCAACTGCTGATTGTAACCCAGAACTAAATAAAAGAGAGAAATGCCTGCTCCTGTCCTGCTTGGGGTGGAAAGTGGTAGGCAGGGAAGAAAGCACCTGGGGTTTTCACCCCCTTTACCCTTCCACACCCCCCCCCTTGCCCCCTATTCTAATTAAGAATGTTGCCAAGAGGTGGGAGCGGTGGGGGGGGGGGGGGGTCCGGAGTGTGTGCTCTGCACGTGTCCCTGTGATGTAGGCAGATAGACAAGGAAGGCCCCCTCTCAAGGCAATGACAAAAGCCAGCCTTGCAGAAAATTGGAAAACAGGAACTAAGGCTAAATAAGACCCTCACCTGGCTCCTGCGACAGACCCAAAGAAGCTCCTGCAGGAACAAAAGGCCAGGAAAGGAATTTCAAAGAAGACCATCACCTTTCCCAACCCCCCCTGGTAACCTCCTTAGCAAAGGGCCCACCTGGGGCAGGTTGGGGAAACCCTATAAAAACCACCTTGAACAAGGGAAGAGCGCATATGCTGCCTGAGCCCATGTGTGCTTATGCCCACATAGCCGAGCACATGTGGTGCCTGCATCTCCCCTCTTGAGATGTGGACTTGCATGCTTTCATGTCTAATGCTAGGATGTGTGTAGGAGCTCTCTCTCCGCCCTTAGAGAAGCCGGTGTTCTCTCTTGAGTACGTTACTCTCACTCTGTTCCTCTCCAAAACCTCCAAATAAAATCTATTTATTTCACTGCTTATGTACTCCTGAAATTCCTTTCTGCGAGGTGAGACAAGAACCCAGTAACCCTGGGTCCCGGGCGGCAGAGGTAGAGGTGATTGGGGAGAAAGTGACCATCTTTCTCCTCTCTGCTTCACATAAGTCACCCGTGGGGCCCACCGACATCACCTGGATGCCAGGCCAGGTGCACAAGGGCTCAACTCGTCCTGAGGCTCCATTTCTGCCCTTTTGGAAGTAAAATGCTAGGGAAATGGGTTCAGTAAAGCCCCGGCACCCCAAGTCCCCAATTAATCACACTTAGACTTGCCGCGCTGCCAAGTACTTAGTGTGGGGCCAGGTGTTTTCTTTCTCCCCTGTCCTGGGAGCACCCATATTGGGTGTTCAGTGAATACCCGACCTCTTGGGTCCACAGTGACTCCTTTAATCTATTGGCTGTCGAAACATCAGAGATAAAATCTTGTGAGCTACCTGACGCAGCCAGCTGCTTTGGGTGTGTTTTCTCTTAGGAAACACAAAGTTTCCATCTTCTGGTTTGTCTCTATTTAATTTTTACCCACGTTTGTTACCCAATGACTCTTGGGGTCACTGCTCTGGCCACTCCCCTCGAGGTTGGCTTTCTTTTTTTTTTAATTTTTTTTTTTTTAGTTCAAATTGAGGAATTTGTTACCAATCCCATGTCAACAAGCTTGTTCTCCCATTCATTGATATCCTCCTATTCACTTTGCAAGTCTGGTTGATGCTTCAGGATCAGACTCAAACATGTTAGCCACCCCCCCATGAGGTGGTTAATTATCAGTCCTAGGGATGCCTGAAACCATCCATACAACGATAAATAGTGTCAAATATACTATTTCTCCCTATACAGTTTTCTGATCAAATTGAGTTTCTAAACTAGGTTCAAAAAGAAATAATCAATAATAATAAAATGGAAGAATGATAGTACAGAATATAGTAATGAATACTAAAATGAATAATGAATCATGACATATAGTAATGAATCGTGACATAAATAATGTCATGATGCAGGCAAGCTGTCAAAACATCTGACTATGTCCAATATCCTGAGAGCAAAGTTGAGAGTTTGAGAAAGCAGAAACCATAGTTTAAAAGCGACAGGGGAATTACTGTAGCTGCTTTAATGCTGGCTCTCACTGCCTTGGATCTGTACTTGACTGTGTATTACATTTTACCTATCCAACTTAATTGTAAGTTGGGAAAAGGGGGTTGTCTCACGTATTCACAAATGCTAAGGGTAACATTGCCCATGAAGTAGATGCCAACATGTAGGCTGAAATATTAGGTTCTTGATAAAATAAGGTAGCAGAACGTCTTCACAATTTTGCCTTGACTTGGTTCTTTTCTTTTGAAAGTTGGAAAAATATACTTGATTTATTTGATATTTACTCTTTAGTAAGTAGTATTTAGGTAAAAGCCAAAATCCAGTGTTAGTAGAGGAGTGCTGGCTTAAAATAACTACAAATACAGAGGATTTACTCATAGAATTTACACCCATCCCTTTACTGTTTAATGAGCTTGGTATGTTGGGGTTTTGTTCACTTTTTTTGGTTTTTTTGAGACATCTGGAAGTCCCCCCCAACACACACACAAATAAACCCTAATGAAAAGATAAAATGCTAAATAAGATTGGGGGCTTATTAATGGAAATTGTAGTACTCTTGTTATTCGGAAGGAATGATTGAAAATAAAACACCCACTATATTCTGTCAATGACTGTACCAGGTTTCAAGTAATTTTTTTTCTTTTTGGGTCACACCCGCCGATGCTCAGGAGTTACTCCTGGCTTTGCACTCAGGAATCACTCCTGGCGGTGCTCAGGGGACCATATGGGATGCTGGGAATCGAACCCGGGTTGGCCACATGCAAGGCAAATGCCCTACCCGCTGTGCTATTGCTCCAGCCCCTCATAATGTAATTTTTAAATGTTGGCTCTCCAAGCATTTGTTAAATGCAAGAAAAATAGGCCCTAATTCAATATTTTCAAAATACAACTTACATGTGATCAAACACTGTTAAGAACTTTAAATAGTAGCTTTCATTTTTAACTGGGAATTTAGGAGCCAGAACTCTAGCACATGTAGCAACAAATAATTATAAAGAAAAAGAAAGACTTATATTTTAAAAATCGCTGTAATAGTTGTAGATTTATGAGCTTTGAAAACACAGACCCTGCTGTCCATTCAAGCCTCATGAGAAGGTTAAGTCTTGAAAAATGCAGCTTTTAAATGATCCTGTTTGGGGGAGTGCATCCCTGACAATGCAGTTTTAAACATGTGTCTACTTCCTAAAAAAAATTACTTGGTTGGTGTCATCAGTATCTTCTGACTGCCCTATCCATCTTAAAAGGATTCATTTCCTCTTTGACTCATCTTGCTTTGAATTAATGAATTAATCTCTCACACACTTTAATCCCAGCATCACTTCTGGGCATTTAGCTACTTCTTCTTCTGCTGCTTCTTCTTTTTCTTTTTTCTTTCTTTTTTTGTTTTGTTTTGTTTTGTTGTGGTTATGGGCAGGGAATTTGGGCTACATCCAACTATGCTCACTGCTTACTCCTCACAGCTCAAGTAGTCCAAATACGGTGGGATAGAGCCTGCCCAGCCATTTGTAAGAACTTATCCGCTGTATTATCTCTCCTGCCCACTAAGCGTCTTTTTTTCACCCTCTAGATCCCCATGGTAGAGTTCTCCAGCTTACCTCTTATGTTCTACAGGTTCATGTCCCTAATATAGTCCTTTCAGGTGGCAGAAAAAGCTTCTAGAACTGTGATTTTGTCATAAAATAAAAGAACCTTGGAGTTGAGTGAGATCTTCAGGCATTTGGGATAGAGAGATAGTACAGAGGTTAAGATACTTGGCTTGCATGCCCAGAGTAACCCTTGAGGACCCCCAGGTGTGGCTCAGCGTCCCCTCCCCCAAGTTAAATTTATTAATTCAAAAAATGAAAGACTGTTCTATATTTTTTAATTTTTCTTTTAATGTGCTGGCACATGATGGTGTGTTAACAAGAGAGTGTCATATTGTTTGGTATGAGAAGAATATATCTGCAACTGTAAACTTTTAAAGTCAAAACTAAATCAGATATTTAAAGCAGCAGTATGCTCAGTAACATGATAGGAACTAGAGATATGGTGGGTTAAAAAAATGTTCCCTGGAGCTTAAATCTAGTGGGAGTTAGACAATGAGTAACTACACATATATGTATTTTTAAAAGAGTAAAAGAATGATGTTCCTCCTTGCTAATCCTTATTGTGATCTTTGTTCTTGCAAAGTTGCTGAGATTCGCTTGACTATTAAAAGGCCTCAACAACCCAATCTCAATAGTTAGCCAACCTTTCCTGCATATAGCTAATCCTCTTCCAGCTTGTATTTACACAGCTCAGTATTAAAAAAACAGTGACAAGTGAAACCTTGGGGAGGAATTTCATGGCAGGTTGGAGCAAGCAAGAAATCCAGGTGGTTTTTCCAAATAATAAAAATGTCATTGAGTCCAAGTACGTAAAAAAGCCCTTTCTGTTTGTGGACCTTTGAAAAACATAGACTGGAGATACAGTGTGCTAAATTCCCAGCCACTCATTGTCCAGCCCTAACAATTACTAGCGTGATTCTCTTATTTCCTTTGCATCTCACCCATTTCCTCCCCACCACTGGCTCACTTGGGAGCAAAATTTAAACTGACTTAATGTGTAAGAAAACATTAAAACTAGTTGTTAGAATTGGAGAGCTAGCTCAAAAAATATATCAAGAGACTTGAGCACATGCCTGGCATGCATGAGGCCCGAAGTTTGACTCTGGCAGTGTAAACTCTTGATACTCCTAATGGCCCTCAACATGGTTGGGACTAAGCACTGCCTGGCCAACTTGTACAATATTCCCAGAAATGTCTTCCTGAGTCCTGAACACTTCTGGGGAGAACCCTCCAAAAACCTAGTTGTAAGGCTTTTTTAGAGGGCCACCCCCTGCTGTTCACAGGGCTATTCCTAGCTCTGCACTCAGGGATCACTCCTGGTGTACTTGTGGGACCATGTGGTATGCCGGGGATCAAACCCAGGTCAGCCATGTACAAGGCAAGCACCTTAC